CGATATTGGTTCCAACCTTAGGCCTCGTTTAAGTACTGTGTTATATGTTGTGTTAAAACAAGATAAATAATTTATCTCTACTTTGATTATAGTCCATTGTACTAGACCTAATTATTATTAAGGTTTTAAATATAAAAAAATCCTACAAATGGGAATATTTCTTACGATGACCTTAATTTCATTATAAAATCTTTGCTTATCCCTTCCGCCTCACAAAATAACGATTAAATAAACAATTTCTCACTTTTATATAATAGTCAACTCAGTTATTGGATAGGAAAATTTAGCAGTGGATGTTAAATAACGCAGTTTGGGTGAATAAGACAGAAATTTATGGGAATAGCACAAAGTGATTTAAGTGGTAGATCATCAGTATAAAAGGAACTTAACGCCAGAAAAAAAAAAAAACTAAATAAGACCATCAACAATAATCTAATATCGATGAACGGTAAATAGAATATTATTTAATAATTTACTTAATTGAAACTCAATAATTAGCTTCCTGATCTAATTTAGGTGTATGATAATAATAACTTGTCCTATTTAAATTTAATTATGAAATGTACTTTATTGTGTAAATTTAAAAACTAAAAATAAGTAAGATATTTAACCAATCTTATACAAATAAAATTAGACAATAACTAGTCATTTCATTAAATTCACGACAATTACATATGTTAAATTACCTAGTATAAAAGTTTCATACACCGAATCCTAGAAAGTAATATGTTATCTAAGAGGCCATTTCTGTAACTTTTTTTTATATAACGACTGGACAATGCTTCAATATCCTTCCATCTGATATGAAGAAATCGTAGACGCTAAATGCATAAAGTTAAAGGCGAGATACTTTTGCTTCGAAAATGAAAATGAAAATGCCAATGCAGGTAAATTGCTACAATCATTTTCTTGGTCACAGAAGAAAGTAGCGTAAGACTACGGAATAAAGAATAGTAAAAAAATAGTTATTAACTATCATTTTACAAGTTTGTAGATGAACATGATATTGATCGACTATGAAATGAAACAAAATAAATCAAAAAGTTTAAAGTTCTTTCCAGGTTTTATTATTACAGTTTCCCATATCCAGATGAAATAAGTATGAACGATTTCGAGTTTGAATATACATAAGTACGTCTATTTAATCACGGCGAAACGTAATATAACAATCATAAATAACGAGGTACTTGGAGCTTATACGTGACAATACAAACAAAACTAAGAGTAAATACTCATGTGCTCATACAAACAACGTAGTTAGTCTTTAGCTGAGGAATGTATGTCTTTTAAATAATATGCAGATATTTTACAAATACAAGTTCCATTACCCAGAAGTATAATAGTTATTTGAAAACCCCGTGTTATGTTACAGATTCATTTTATAGTGCGTTTGATTTAAGCTGAGCTTTGTATTTGTGTGAGTGCACATGGATAGTGTAGGTGTGATGTCAAATTTTTTAATGCTACGTTCTTTTCTAGTTTTGACAGGTTTATACTGCTGTTATTCCGCATCTTCCCCACGTCACCCTTTGTAATGGTAGCAACATCAAATGTTGAAAACGCAATGTCAAGTGAAGAAAATTTATATTGTTTTTCAACATTTTTATTACTTAATGTATTTATTCCATAATATTTCCATTTGGTCTTTTATAAGTTTTGCTTATTTTATTTTTAATCTAGAATAGATCTAGCACTTATGTTATGTACCTATTCAAAAAAAATTACTTTTACTCACACAAATGAAAAGCTCAGATTAAGTCTAACGAACTATACCATACTACTCAGATTTAATAATATATTTTTTTATATAATTAAGGTATCTTAATTTAATTTAAACTTAAAAAAACATTCAATAATTAATTAATTTCACTTTTACTATTAAAATACAAAGTAATCCATAGAAATTCTTTCTTTCTTTCTTTCAAATTATACGAAATGACTGATACATATCTTAAAAATTAGGTAATATTATAACTGTAATAATTGATTTCAGCTTGAGGTTGGTGTATGGGTCAACTAGGTGGTTATGAAGTCTGATTATTTTTAGAACAAATGGTCCTTTTTTGAAATAAACACAACTAGACTTTTACTGTGGTACAATCAATGCCAGGATAATGAGACAAAAATGATATTTATGAAATATACAATTTTAAAACATTTGCTTCAATTATGAAACTCGCGTAATATCAACTACAATCGTCGATTAAAATGTTCGTCTAGTAGTGTTTTCATAAAGTGACGATATTGCTAATAAATGCAATGTTGTATTGCAATTAAGTATACCCACTTAATAATTTCTAAGATCATGAACCTTAAGTGTCATTTATATTTGATTATATCATGATAAGAAAGAAAATTAATGAACACGAATTATTGAGTGAATGACATTTTTAAAAGGTGACATATATTTTCTTAACGATTTGTTACAACAAATTCTTTATTAAGAACTCTGACTAACGACAACTCTTTGAAAATATATTTGATAATTGTTTAGTGCTTGTATATTGTTTACTACTTATTTAATTTTAATGAATTGAATGAGTTATTTGTGTATATATATTTTTAATGGTTTACTTACATAATTTCATTTAGCAATCTTATTTAAGTAATTATTAATGTATTGTATTACAAAATTCATATTTGTTTATAATAAACATGTAACGAATCATTAAATTTCATGTCACAAAAAGTAAACAAACAATGAAACTGTAGAATTAACTTTTGGTAATTAATTAAAATTAATCATTTAACAAGTCTGCTTATTGCTTAAGGTTGCCTGTTTGACTGTTTGTTTCTTAAATACTCGCAATATATTTATTTTAATAGATCTAACTCCAATAAGGCAAACCAATCAATGTATAGAATGTTTTCAACTTCTTATTTCAATGGTTTTTACTATAACTATTATAAAAAACACTACAATTAAAAAGAAAACAATATATTTCAATTATTTTTACTTAATATTCCATTTTCATTGAAATGATTATATATACTGAATGATGAATCAGATACAGGTCTTAGGTACTTACGTCGAATATTATACTTGTTATACAAATGTCCTAAAGACTCGACAACTGTTCGTAATATCCTTTTTAGTGTTTGCCTTCAGAGAAAAACATGAGCGCTTAACATCACGCTATAGATATACTTGTCTGCTACCGTCGTATTACTTAAAGTACGAGCAAAGATGCATCATAAATTTGAATACTTTCTTGAAAAAAATAACTCAAATACTTCATATAAATAACTAGAATATTAACAGCTGTATATCTTAATTAAAGAACGACAGTGATTTGGAATTTAATCACTTATTCGTTATAAATGTAACAAATATACAAATATGGTTTGCTTAGAACCCCTAAAGCTGTTTGTGAGTAAATTAAACTCAACGTTAGAGGGTCGTTTGAATTTGATAACGTTTTCAACATTAACCATGTTACATTTTATTTATTTAAATTTAATTATTTAAGTATGCGTAGTTAAGTAATTAGATGTTTCCATGAATGTAAAATGATTAATACGGGAGACTTGTAATTATTATATTCGGCTGACGATAATCATTTAGATTTTTAGCTCCTTATATTTATTTGTTACATGAAGTATTAAAACATTTCTTTTAAATAAATAAATAAATAAATCAATTTATTTCCAGAACCATAAAATTCCAATTTCACACACTTTTTATGTAATTAGTTTACTAAAAATGAAAAATAATGACTTATAAACTAAAACACAGAATTTAAATTAATATTAAAATTAAACTTATGAGCACAACCTTGACCGCACAATAACCATTAGCATACCCCTTGATAGTGTGTGTGTATTTTCGACCAATGCTCCAACAAATATCCCACATTAATGCTCGAGCAAGCCTTAACTAATGAGTTATCGCTTTGAGTATATCTCTTCCAGGTGCTCGCAATTCTTACACGCATCAGTGCCCAGAAACCGTGTACTCTCCTTTCAGTGAACATTTCTGATGCGCTACAGTGTCGTGGTAGTCCGAACAGTATTCGAAACGCGTTGTTATATCCCACCCGCATAGCGTTGATGGCACTTTGCGTGTATTTGATCCACAATTCGGCTGTATAGAGACACATACAATAGGTACGAAATAATATAGATTTCACCTCATCAGTGCATAGTCTGAATCTTCGTGATATCATGTTCGCGCGTATTGTTATTGCTCTCCTTTGCCTGTTGATATCATCGACATCTGAGAGGTCGTCCCTTATTATATGCCCTAGGTATTTTATGCATGAATCAATTTCAATACTCTGTCCATTAAGACGAACTTGCGGTATTGCTTCCGGCCCATTTCTATACTTAAATATTAGTAGTTTCGTCTTCTGAATATTGTACACCATATTGTGTTCCTCAGCATATTTCTCACATTCTCTTATGAGAATTCTTAGGGCTCTGATGCTGGGCGCTAGTAGCACCATGTCGTCTGCGTACGCGATGTGATTGATGCATGTATTGTTTATGTGACAGCCGACCTTCGTTGCCAGTAGCTTGTCACTTAATGCATCCATATACAGATTGAATAGACCAGGCGACATGGCTCCACCTTGCCTGACTCCAGTGCTCAAGAATGTCGGGTCAGATGTATGGGTGCCCCACCTTATAATATTTGTTTGTTGTCCATGCCAAAATTTTAAGATATTAGTTATATATTCTGGTGTTTGTCTCTCATGTAGTTTATTCCAGAGGTTTGTATGGGATACTCTATCAAAAGCCTTACTGAGATCGAGAAAGCAGCCGTATATCGTCGTTCTTCTTTTATTATAATAGGATATTGTCTGCTTAAGAGTGAAAATTGCAGTGTCGGTAGACGTACTCGGTTTAAATCCCATTTGGTGGTCATTTGTATGTAAGTTTTTCTTTAGGTGAGCAAAGATTACTTTTTCAAAAACTTTTGCGGTCGCAGTAGCCAATGATATAGGGCGATAACTCGATAGGAGAGAGATATCAAGCTGTCTGTGCTTAAGTAATGGCACTACAGTGGTTTTCATCATGTCGGTTGGTATGTGACACATAGTGAGACAAGCGCTAAACAGAGCGGCTAACAGTGTCGGTAGGTAGGGGCCTGAATATGTCAAATGCTCAGCCACAAGGCCGTCATGTCCTGCCGCCTTATTTCTGTTCTCACATTGGATGATTTTATCGACCTCAGCGGCGGAAATAGAAATAATTCTACGCGACATAGGTGTTTTGTCTGCCGGGTGACTAGTTGTGAAACCAAAATGGCTGGCAAATTCCTTAGCTATCTCCCTTTCGTCCGATTTTCCGTTAACTTCAACAGCCAACGTCTTGTTTTTTGTCTTCATAGCTTTATTTGTCTGTCTCCAGAAGCTATTAAAGTTCTTATTGTGAAGACTAAGTGCTATCCTGCTGGCCTTGATTTCCTCGGAATCTCTCAAGCATTTTTTATATTCCTTTTTGAAATCTTTCTTAGTACTTGACCTTTTCTCCGCCACCACCCCGGTCGAGGGTCTACCTGCGGCAACCCAATTGATAAAAGCCTCTTTCGATGTTGCATAGGCCTGTTTGACCCGCTCATTCCATCCTGGTATTCTGCGCTTCTTCGATCCGTTTGATGGTTTAAGAGCGAAGACTCGATAAGCAGCTGCCCTTAGAGACGAAACTATCTGTTCATAATTATTGTCTATTAACTTTGTCGCTACCTCCCGACTCAATTGTGTAATGTTAGTGACGTCTAGCGGTTTAATTTTATGCAACATGAGATCTGCTTCTCTTGCGTATTTTGTTAATTCTTGGTCACTTTTTGCCTTCCAAGTGATTGGCAAAGCTTTTGGCGTTTCTGTGATGCTTTTGGCATGGGTAAGGTTCTTTGAATTGAGTGTAATTGATAGCGGCCTATGATCAGACCAGTCTACATTATAATCTATCGATATTGAATTAATATGGCTTTTCAATGAGTAAGATATCATACAATGATCAAGCCATGACGTGGAGTTATGTGCATCGCTAAGAAAGGTATATGAATCCTTCGGCATCTCATCTATATCTACACAACTAAACATGTTTTTTCGTTTGCAAACTGTAGTAATTCTTTGCCGAAGAATCTCTGTGGATCTGCATTAAAGTCTCCCATAATTATACAATCATGACATTCTTTCTCATCAGCAATTGTAATTATTTTACTCAAGCAATCAGAAAATTCTTCTAAATTGTCATTACACTCGGTAGGCATATACACAGTAATGAGTAATATGCTTGTATCAACGCCTTTAATATGTATAGCAGTTAGCCTCGGTGAGTCGCATTTTACTGGTGTTGCATTAATATTTTTATGCCACAATATTGCTACTCCGCCGTAGGGTCGCCCATGATGTGAATTTGCCAGGTTCATGGCAGAGGTTCCCAAAGTATAGAAGTTGGGATTAATATTATCTAATAAACTTAATTCATCAGAGTGTAACCAAGTTTCCTGTAATAAAATAATATCTGAGTTTTTACCTAAATCTTGTATGAACTTCTGGGTACGTTTAAACCCTTTACAATTTATCGTAGTAATTTTAAGATTAGATATAGACGTCATTCTTTCGATTTCCACCCCCTCGATACTCTGTACGGTCTGAAAACTATTCCTTCGGGCCAAAAGTCTTCATTTAAAGCTACCTTATAATCATTCTTCTTAAATACGAGTTTAAACGAACGAAAGTTTGTTGGCATTTTTGATTGTAAAACTTCTACTCCCATGGCTTCTATGCCTTTTTCAGTAAGATATTCTTTTATGTCATCTTCTGTAGTAGACGACTGAAACCTGGAGACATATATGTTGAATGTCATGTCCGCCACTTTTAATTTTATATTGTTGTTTTTACTCGTGCCATGCATATTAAGAATCCTCTTTCTCTTTCTTTGTACTTTAGTAAACCCATCATCATCAACTTCTTTTATGTTTTCATTTGTATTTGATGTATAATTATTCTTTGAGGGTAATTTGTTTGAGAAGCGTAGACCGCTATGTAAGCAAGGCATATCGCTATATGTAAAATCCTTATTAGCACCGCCTTTAGTTGTGGCCCCTTGTCCCTCCTTGACCAATGCTGCGTAAGAGGGTATGGCCTTAACAGTTGAAGGCGACGCCTCCTGCGTGTACGCATTAGCATCCGCCTTGGAGGCGGAGTCAGGTCGTTGACACTGCATGGGGTTAATGACCTCTTCTCTGGTCTGTGACTCATGTCTCGTAATAGTTAGTGCACTTTGTTGCATGTTTTTATTTAAAACTTTTAACGATTTAAATTCGTTGTTTAACCTGTTAGTTTCTTGTTGTAATATTAAGATTTGAGATCTGATTGTGGATAGGTTTTTCAAAACACATGTCACATCCAGGTGGTCGAAAGTAACAGGTGGTACACGTGAAAGGTCTTTCGCCACAAAAATAGGCATATCATCGGGATCCGTCTCTTTTAACACTTTCACCATATCTGTTATGTCTTTATCCTTCTTTTTGTCCCCCTTCCGGTTAATCTTCTTTATAGTTGTATCCTCGTAAGCAATAGATTTTGCCTTTTCTATCTCCTCTTCATTAAACCATGATGCCGCAATTTGTATCAGACTTATCTCGTCTAATACATCGCACTTATTTTGAAGAAATGTTAACAGTTCATTAACTACAATTTTACACGAATCGCACATGTTTATAACGGGTCTTTCGCACTCATTGCTACACTACGATGAGTAATTCACGAGACTTTTTCACAAGTGGCGTAACACGTCCGCTCGCTACGACGATCGCGCGCGTATCCTAACGTGACTTTTATAAGTTCCACTACTGCTTATTGGTTGCAGGATTATTTTATTGTAGGAATCCTAAAGTGCGTGATTGAATGAATAATGAAATGCGTGATTGATTCTTATTTCATTATTTATGTTATCAGTAGTGAAAATAGTTAATAAATTAAATATATATATACATGTATGTATAACAATTAACAATATTAAATCTTAAGGCTCTTGTGTATCTTCTGTACATGATTACCTTTCTTTTACATGTTTACCTAATAAATACACTTGACAATGTAAGACGCAAGAAAATCTTGAGACAACGGATTTCTGAGAAATACATTGGAAAGGGCCTGAGATCTACATACATATTGCTTGCTTTAATTTAATTGAGTAATAATTGCTAAACTTTTTCATACTTCTTCTTTTTGGTCTTTTGTTATCCGAATCGATATCTTCGTGACGTATAATTTGTTTCATTAAAGGGAAGTTACTGGAAAGACCCTTTAATATAATGACCTTTGTGGAAATTGTAACAATGTAATGTTGTCCTTAAGACAGATCTTAACGTGACTTTTGTAACTGAAGCTACATAAATCACAAAATATTAAATGCTTAATACAACATCACATATATTTTTTTGGGTTTAAAAGAATGTTTAGTGCTTAAAGTATATTTCGTCTTTTTTAATTCAGTATCAACTTCTACCAGCTATAAAATTGTAGACTGTAAAGGCCTATATTTCAGCGTCGGTGACCACTGGAGAGGAGATTAAAGTAATCGAAACGTCGGATAAAATGCAAAAATAATAAAACAAGCGAGTTAAATCCGAAAGTAAAATTATATTTGAGTGTGTTTTTGCGAAGAATTTTTAATAAAGTGAAATAACATTCATAGTTATTTTTATTTAGAGTACTAAGTTTTTATTAATTTAATGAATGAGTAGTAACAAACTATTTAATATTAACAAAAGTCGTAAATGACATTGATTATATTGAGTAAAATTTATTTTATTTAACGATAATAACACATATAAAATCACAATTAAGTTTTTCATTTCCTCGTGTTATTTGACAAAAATATTTTTAAAATTTTTGTGTATGAAGGTGTTATACGGAACCTTATGTACATTAATATTTCTATAATTAATTGATGAAGTTTGTGTCCAAGTAATTAATTATAGAAAGAAGAATAAAACACATAAATATATTTTGTGAGAATTGGAAGAAAATATCGCAAATGTTTTAGTAATATCAAGAATAAAAATGATTTCATGCTAATTTATGTTATGTGAACAGACCACTACTATTTCTGGTTATAAAAAGTAAATGGTCCTAAGATGGTTAAGAACCTAAATCAAAAAGTCTTAACTGCTATGGTCATATTCATCGATATATAGTAATTACTTATATTGATGACTTAAAATATTGTTATTTGTCATATGTGTTACTGTTCAACCATTCCTTATTAAATTAAAAGCAATATCATATCAATATTCATTTATATCTAATATTTTGTATTAGTTCTTGGAACCATGAACACATGTAATTTTAAAACTAAGAATGCACTCAAAGTGTTGTCAACGTTTGCTTCTTTGAGTTTCATATTAAGAATATTCGGACTTTCTGCCTTTTCCTTATATCTAATTTATCACATACAACGGTGAAATATTTAGGGGAGGGTAAGGTACAATATCATACAGACGACACTAGTTGTCCGTCATAAGAGTTGAAAGTAAATAATCGACGATTAAACAGTAAGAATTTTAACGTTTCATTATTTAAAAATATTGTTGGTATTAGTTTAAACTATCATAACTAATATACAGATGGTGCTAGCTCACTAATACGAGTATCTCTTTATTTCAATTACTAAGTGTAATTATTACTAACATTAAGAATGTATATTATAGTAAAATATTGCTATATTTGCAACCCATTTCACTATTTATAGTTTTAAAAGGGTCTCTCTTTGATAAGCAGAAATTAGAATTAATAAAAAATCCTTGTCTGTTATCTCTTTTCATTCTAATTACTTTTTTCAATTTCAAGGTATGGAGACGAATACATCAAAATTTTAAAATAAACAGAATTGGAAAAAAAATTAAGTAACATGGCCGTAAATAATATCTTCACAAAAAATATTTTATTTTAAACGATATTTACATATGTCGTACATTAATTTGACTAATGGTTAGGACATCAATGTAATTTGTCTCGTCATAAAATGTTTAATATTCTATGTATTTATTGGAGGTTTTTGTGACTATTAATATTGTTTGAATTATTCCAATATCCATATTAGTAACTTCTTCTTATACAAAGGGAATCAAAGACTACAATTTATTTTAATTCATATTTCTTATTAGTACTGCAAGCCAAATTGTCAAATTATTTTCTTTATAATAAAATATATATACCAATAAGCTACATACAATATTGAAACATTTCTTTCCCATATGAATTGTTTGATTTTTTTTTACCATTTTTCTAAATTCAAAGAATTAGTTACACTGGTGTTTATAAACTTTGTTTATTTAATACATACTTATTAAATTAACTTATATTTATGTCAATACAATAGAATGACTGTGATATTTATTGTTCATGGTTATTTTGTGCCCTTTCATATTCAATATATTTTTAATATTTGTCTCATCGTTAATATAACGAACGAGTATAATAATAAATGTCGGAGCAATGAGCTTTAAAAACTGATGAAACATGAAAAAAGCTTGAGCCTGTCATCATTTATTATAAAAACTTAATAGTATTCATGATTAATATTAAAAGTAAAACGAAATCGAAGATTGTTTAAAAGGAAAATGGAACTATGTTTGACGGCAAACTTCAAAGATCAATTGAAATTTTATTTTATTCAAGTAATTGTAGAAATTAAACGTATTTACTTTCACGATGTAATATTTTTTACAAACTTTCATACAGTATTGCATTGTTTATAGTTATAATTTTTCTTTAAACACTGTTTCAATGTGTTCTTGGAATACGTAACATGTTTATTTAAAATATTTTAGTTAGTCACAACAGTTCAATCTTTATAATATTATAGTTGTTGTATATTATTATTTCATTTTGCTGACATCATTAAAAAATAAAAATAATTGTCTCATATCGTTAAGAATTTTATATACATATATAGAGAAAATAATATCAAAAATTATTAATATTTTTATACAAAGAAAAAAACGACAGGCCGGGAATTTATTTGCAACCTTTCGTAGCATACATACAACGGTATCAAGATATCATCCATGATACAAAGAATATATACAACGTGTATCGTAATTAACGCACACCCTCAAATACCCCAATTAGAATATAATAATATAAACGCAATGCATACACCAAATATTATTTATATGTGCGTTTGCATTTTTTATTTGTGAAATTAGTTATCCCAATTTCGTGCAAATAATATGGTCAGCTATTCACCAACACTCCGCTGCACACGCACACACAGACAGACACAATGTACTCGCCGCGCCCGCGCCCCTCTCTCCGAGTGCCGTCCGACAATAATAAGTAGTAGGTAATAATAAGAACACGAAATAACTACATTATGATTTATGATTCTTCTTTCCATCACACTTTTCAGGCTTTAGATTGTCGACATTGATTTTTTTTAATGTGAAGCCAATATTTTATAATTACTGATTTGTTAAATTAAATTTGTAAATAAGACTTATTAAACAGCTGATAACGTGTGATTTGATTAGACACCACAATACCTACGACAAAGTCGGCGTGTTTAAATGGTGTGAATCAAAATATTTACAATAATTTAAAGATCATAAACAAACTTAGGTTAATTTGCACTCGCACGGCGTTGTCGTTTTAAAACATTTTCAAAATGTCCACCGCCTTGTTCAACGCAGTTTAATGATCGTTTTCGCAATTGTGATTTTATTTTGGATAATACTGCAGTGTTACTTTTCACTTTTACAAAGGCGGTAATTGTCTTATTTTTTAGTTCCTCGACACTTATTGTCTCTGTGTTATAAACTAGCGATTTAATTCGCCCCCACAAAAAAAAGTCGAGTCGCGTCAAATCAGCTGATCTAGGAGGTCAATGGACACGTGCGTATGTATTTGATGTGTGCCGGCTGTCGCTGTGCGTTCGTAAACATTTGTAAAATACGATTTTAGCCTTGAAACAAGTATCAGTTTTCTTTAATTGAATGATGATTACTAATTTAATATTTCATTTTAAAAATCTTAATACTCTGACTTACGATCCATTTTCGTTTCAATGAAACTGTGTGTAGTATGACTGTAATTTATTTAGTTCTATCTAAATTTGAGAAAAAAATGACCTACATAAAAAACTGTAAAAATCGATCCAGATACCGATTCTGAACAAACTACTTTCAGGGTGTGCGTTAATTATGTTACACGTTGTATATGTCGTCTCTTTAAACACAAAACCATTATAATACCAGAAATATTAATATAGGAAAGAAATATTGAAGGTAGGAAAGTTAAATTGATTGATAATGCATAAAATTTTTGATTAATAATCTCAATATTCAATTAATTTTAAGGATATTTGTTTTCATTCATCAATTTTATAGTATTTATTTATCCAAATTCAAGCAAAAGGAATCCATAAATTATTTTATTACTAGCAAAAATCTTTCATTAAATATAATAATAATATAAATACACTCAGTAATAAAACTTTTACGTAATTTAAAGACGAAGTTCTCTAAAAGAAGTTTGAATATTTTCAACTGACGTTTGAAATCCTTCAGAGCTTCTAACATCACCTGGTTTGAGTTACAGGTGACGTTGAATGTAAGTGATTAGTTAGAAGGCCTCGACTTCCTCAAGTTGCTTAAAGTTTCTATAGACATTAAGTTGACATAAATAGATAGATTTATATATAAGCATGCA